GTGATGAAATCGATACTAATTTTCCCTCACATGGGATTCTGACGTTTTCATAAATGTGGCCGATACGACATTGTTGGGCGGTGTTAAGAGATACCTGGATGTGAAATTCTAGTGTGAAATCAGTACTGTTGTATGGAGAGAAAACATGAAGAACAACTAAGACAATTATAATCAAGCTAAAAATATTCTTTACTTGGTGCATGCAGAGAATCTTCTTCTGCCTTTCTGGCGCTCTAATGAAGCATAGGCCCTCAAAGAATTCACACCAAGGTGTTTTATCCTTCGTTATCATATGCAGCTTTCTTCGTGTCTTCCCCTTCTTTTTAACTTCACCCTCTAGATCCCTTCTCTGTGTGTTTGTTTTTTATCTTCCTTTATTTCTATGTCTCTTTGGGTGTCAGTGCAGAGATATCCTAGTTATACCTGTATAGTTCTTATTCTTTCTCAACGTGTGCCCTGTATAACTCCAGAGTCATTTATTCACCTCTTGGTCTACTAGAACTTGTTTAGTATTCTCCCAACACTCTACATTAGTGATTCTATCTTACTATTCAATGCCCTCATATTCTGCACAGGCACCAGTTAATGAATCTTTGTCTGTCTTCTTATTTAGCTTTTAAAAGCTTTGTATCAGTTGTAATTTAATTTGACCTCCACTAATTCCATAGTGATATGAAAGTTTCTCTTACTTTTTGTAGTCGTATTTTAATATCTCTCTCTGTTTCCCCACCTTTATCTACATTACTGCCTAAATATATGTACGATTCTACGTTTTGGAGTCGGATACCATTAAGAGAAACCACATTACTATTTGTCTGATTTATTCTCCCTATTATTGTCTTACCCTGACTGTTGTGATCTTCCCTCGAGTATATTTAATTTATCTTGTATCTGATTCCGTGAGTGGGACAGAAGTGAAATACATCAGCGATAAAGTCCAGATCATCAAGCTGTTTTGTAGGGGTCCACTAAATTCCATTCTTAGTGTTAGCAGTTGCTGTCTTCATAATCCAGTCCCTTGTCAGTAAAAAAAAATATATCAAAAAGGAGGGGGGGGGGGCGTCAAAAGACACCTCTGTTACACACATATTTTTATTTCAAATGTTTCTGTTAGCTTTCTCTCATGTGAAACTGGACACTTCATGTCTCTATTTGTCGCCTTTTCTAGGTTAATAATTTTGTGTGGGATTCCACAGTGCCCCCCCCCCCTTCCCCAATTAATTTCCAAAAAGATTCCCTCTCCATGCTGTCAAACGCCTTTTCATAGTCTATGAATCCAATGTAAAGTGCTCAATTCAATTCAATGTGTTGACGATTGTTATACGTAATGTTGTTATCTGATCAGAACAGGGTCTGTTTGACCAAAAATCTGCCTGTTGGGTCTCCCGGACTTTACTAAATAATCTATGTAGCAATTTCTACATGTGTTTTTATTTGCCCTAATAGCTTCTGCTGGAATACCATCTGGATCTGACATGTCCCCTTCTTTCAGAAGATTGATAGATTTTCTAATTTACTCTTTAAATGGTATCTCACAGTTCATATCCAGTTCCATTTCTAAAAGTCTGCATATATAGAGCAGCCTCTGGGGTTACTATATTTAGAAGTATTTCAAAATATTCAGCACATCTGTCCATTTGATCTTTAATGTTGGTGAGTATCTTTCCTTGACTATTTTTGATTGATTCAGTTGGCTGACTATATTTACCAATTAATTTCTTTGTGTTAGTGTAAAGGTCTCTGAGGTTTCCTTTTGCTGCCGCTGTCTCCGCTTCTTGTGCAGGGTCATCTAAATATTAGGGCTGTACCGAATATTCGCTTCGTATTAGCTTCGGGGCCGAATAGTGGACCTATTGACTATTCGGTATACGAATAGTAGTTACCTAACACCTGCTTCTGCATACACGGCCTTAATGCTGACAACATGGAACGATTGGGTTTGTTGAAAGCTAATGCAGCTTTCCTGCATTAACTAAGCTGTCAGTGACAATTTCCAAGTTTAGTTACTTGTTATAATACTTAGGATTCTTTCATTCCTAGTTATTAGTTACCACAGTCTGGCTGAAGGATGCAAAACATACAATGTTTTTAAATGTTTACTATTCTGTGCGAATACTAACTAGACATGGAAAGAATATAAACTCCGGCCACATCCAAGTCGACAATATGAAAATCAAACGAACAGAAACGTATAAGCATTGGGTGCAAATTTCAACTGCTCCAACATGCTGAGATAACTGGTGCATCCAATACAATCTAGAATACAATCTAGAAATAAAGTATACTATGCCCTTCAACATCTGATAAAGTCAAAGTGTCTGTCTCGCAACACCAAGATCAAAATATATAAAACGTCGATAAGACCAGTCGTTTAATATGGCTGGGAAACTTGAAGCAGAAATAAAAGAGATGAGGCCTTATTACAGGTTTTCGAAAACTGTCTTACGGCAAATCTTTGGACCCATCAAGGATGCTAACAGCGGGGAATGGAGAGTGAGAAGCAACAACGTAACACATAATATGTTTAAATCACCATTGATCACTAGCATCATGAGAGCTAACAGACTAAAATGGTTGGGGCATATTGAAAGAATGTCATATGACAGAGAAGTAAAAACTGTATACACCTGAGAGAGGATTGGCGTAGACCACGAGGCAGACCAAAAAAAAAAAAAGAATTTCGAGAGATAATGTCCAGCCAGACCTGCAAACAACTGGTGTCACTCATTGTGAAGATAAGGCCAGCCAGAGAGATCAATGGAGACGAGTGATATCTGCAGCAGTAAACCTCAAGGGCTCAGCATGCTAAAGAAGAAGATGACTATTCTGTGCTACTTTATGTGAAGTAAAAGTTCAGCGTACATTTGACATTGTGAATGCTTTTTTTTTTTTTTTAGGTATATTTTATACACTATTCGTATTCGTATTGGCGGAATAGTTGGTCCCGTTATACAAAATCACTATTCGGTACAGCCCTAGTTTAAATTACATCGAACGGCCGAGCAAACGATGGTTTGAAAGAGGTGGGAGTGGTGACCACTGGAAAGATCTGTGGAAGGAAGGATAGAGGCAGACAACGATCGAAGATTCTTGACAGTCTTTTTGCATGGCATGGAGGTGTGTCGGCACACGAACTGATACATGCTGCGGGAGATAAAATATTGTGGGGGGGGGGGGGGATATAATCGCCCACGCCAGTCGACAAGGCACCTGATGATGATGATATACTATTTGTATTCGTATTCGTATTCGGCCGAATAGTTGGTCGCACTATTCGTATTCGGCCGAATAGTGAAAATCACTAATCGGTACAGCCCTACTAAATATATCATTTTATCTTCCATTATACGCTTCCTTACTTCCTTGCTGGCTTCTGTGTATTTTTCAGGAGCCCTAGCTTAAGCAGCTCTAGTTTTGCTATTGTTTATGTCTGCCTTTTTACTTTTCCTTACTTCAATGATTTAAATGGTTTCTGGTGTTATGCGCGCTTTATGTTTCCGTCCTTTCGTCCACGGACTTCTACACAAGATTCATTCCAGATTCTCTTGATATGATCCCAGCTTACTTCTGTGTTTACCTCTTCAGCTAACCGACACACCTGGTACTTAGAGACTGTAACTAAAATCTGTTCCATGTCTTTTAAGTTATAGCTTGATTTTACTTACTAACAGAAATTGTCAGTAAATACATCGGCACCTCTGAAAGCCATAACATCATAAAGGGATGATCTAAACTTTTTGTTTCATACATATGTGATTAATTTGATTGGTTATCTTATGGTCTGGGGATTTCCATGATGCCCTATGTATTCTTCTATGATGTAAAATTCCTCCTTAACTGGTGCATCCTTATTATTTGCTGGCGCATATCACTATATTACCGACATGTTTACCTTCCATTTCGATGTTCTAAATTACGCTCTTAATACTCTAGGACACACAGATTGCCATTGTATTAGTGCCCTCTCTGCTTCTTTCTATAGCATTATGGCTACTTCTTCCCTGCGGGTGTACCAATTGGAGTAGCAAGAAAAGAAAACCGTATAAGCCATCCGTCGTTACATCAGCCAGAACAGAATGGCAGTTATTAGCCTAACAAGACTCAGAGACATTCTTAGGAGAAATGCGGAGCACTTATGGTCATACCTAAAGTGCGATGAAGATGACCTTTAAATGGTGAATGAACAATGAACAAAGTTTTACAGGATGAGGTAGCCAACCTGAAGCTCAACCCTACCATTGGTCGCCTTTTACGACATGCCTGGTAGGGTGAAGTGTCATTATTCTTTGCTTCCCGTGAAGGACGCAGCGACACACGGGTGAGCTGCGCAAAAAAAAAGAGGGAATTAAAAGTTAAGACAGAATTACCAATGCAGAGCTTTGGGGGAGAACTAAACATATTCTAGTGAATCAAGAGGTGAAAAAAAAAGAGGCTATCGTAAGATGGGCCACACGTTAAGAAAACAAAGAACCAATATAACTATAATGTCTGTACACTGGAACCCACTGGGCCATAGAAATAAAGAACCCCCCCCCCCCCCTGCCCCCCTCCCCCCACCCAAAAAAAAAAACATGGAGAAAGGAGATAAAGAGTGAAGTTAAAAAGATGGGGAGGAAATGAGGAAAGCTGCGTGCTATAGCAGAGGATTGAACGACGTTCCGTGAGTTGGTTGAGGGCCCATGCCTGAATGGGGTATAGCAGAAGAATAATAATAAAAAGAAGAAGAAGAAGAAGAAGAAGAAGAAGAAGAAGAAGAAGAAGAAGAAGAAGAAGAAGAAGAAGAAGAAGAAGAAGAAGAAGAAGAAGAAGAAGAAGAAGAAGAAGAAGAAGAAGAAGAAGAAGAAGAAGAAAGGAAGAAGAAGAAGTTCAATGTAAATTAACATTTAAAAAAATAACGAAATCATCTCCTTGTTAAACTTTGAATGCGATGAACGTTCTTACTAAGTCTCCCCAGAAATATAACGAAGATTTTTCAGAAATATCATATTCAAGACGATCAGTCATATGAAGGTTTCATTGCGGTGATCATGACTATGATTTTGGTCTGTGACTTCATTCATTTGTTCAGGTTTCTCGAACGGGCATTGTGACTGTTCTAGAAATGGAGACTTGAGAGTGGTGGCAACCGTGGTCGTAGGGCAAATATTTTTTATGTAGAGACAGCGAATGCTCACTTGAGTAAGAATGATATTTTCATAACTGTTATTACCAGTTGCCTTCTGTTGTGTGGTATCTAGCATTATCAGCGTGTCGTTGTCGCGACGACTTTGCTCAGTCGTATTTAGCACCAGCAAAGCCGGGTGTCCTCGCCTCAGAGATAAGCCGGCCAGTCGCTTCTTCAAAATAAGATAGACCTCAGTGAGCAGAATGAAAAACACAGGCCTGACACATGTGACAGAAGATTTCATCCAGCTGAGTATTTGAAACAGTACCACGAAAGACTGACAGTTCTGGGGACTTTTGCAGTTGATGGTTACTTGAGAGTAAGCTGAATATGGCAAAGTTATTGCCAGACTGATCACATCCACCACCAACAAGGCGGCTACAAATCGCCGTTGTCTTCCGGTGTGGGAAATATTGATGACAGGCGTAGCCATTTCCGACGCACTTCTTTCTTGACATGTTTGGTTGACCTCGTTGCCATTGCCATTCATGAGAGAATCATTTGGCAAAGAATGGCTTTCTGTATTTGATGACTGTGTCACATTGGTTGGGTTGTCTACCGTAGGCATCTCACCAATGCCGGCAATAAAAATAAATATAAGCATCACAAATATAACAAGAGAAGGAATAAAGACAGTCAGCCAGTTAGAGGCCGTATTTGCCTCTCTCGTAATGCCGTATATGCAAAGACCTGGAATATGTTCCGAATTCGCTGGAAATCCCAGCCATAAGGCATTGACTACAATGCAGCTGCAGCACCAAGGACAGAGTATAACAGCAATTCGAAATAATTTTTTCTGCACCAGTATATGGTAGAAACTAGTCTTATATGCGAAGACAATACGATCCACATTCAACAGGAGGAGTCCCATCAATGACACACTAGGCAACGCCACATCCAGTATCATCCACGTCTGGGGATAGCAACATCAGTATTATTCTATGTGACGTGATGATGTCATAAAATACAAGTTTCATTTAAAAACAAGGCGATTTGGCAAATACACCTTCAACAGCTTGTAAGGAAACCATATATGACAAGACATGTACACAAAAGACATCACTAAGATACAATTATTAAAAGTATCATATCAGTTTATCTACTTAGTTGCAATTATGATTGCAACGGAACACAACGAAAGAAATTATGATACACACTGGCAAGGCAGTCTTCAAATGCATCAGTCAAATATGGAATTCTTTTTAATAAACTGAAAAGTTATTTGAAGTTTTTAATTACGACATGTGTCAGTAGTGAAAAGTCGAGAACTATTAAAAATATTAATGGAAAATTAAACGCATTAGGCACCCAATGTCTGGAGAAAATAAATTAATTTAAAAAAAAATGCCAATTCATGTGTGTAGGCTGGGATGTGTGGGGCAGGGGTGGGAGCAGGGTAGCGGAGGGGAGTAGGGGTCTTTGAGGCTGAGGATTTAGAGTCGTATTGCTAGTACTGTCAGTTTTAGCACTTGATAAAAAAAAAATTATTGAAGCCGGGTCACCCGCATAAGAGCCCAGATTTCTAACCGTTCGGCCAGCTGCCCTAATGATGATGAATTCTTATATATGTATGTATGTGTGTATGTATGTATGTATGTATGTATGTATGTATGTATGTATGTATGTATGTATGTATGTATGTATGTATGTATGTATGTATGTATGTATGTATGTATGTATGTATGTATGTATGTATGTATGTATGTATGTATGTATGTATGTATGTATGTATGTATGTATGTATGTATGTTATGTATGTATGTATGTATGTATGTATGTATGTATGTATGTATGTATGTATGTATGTATGTATGTATGTATGTATGTATGTATGTATGTATGTATGTATGTATGTATGTATGTATGTATGTATGTATGTATGTATGTATGTATGTATGTATGTATGTGTGTGTGTGTACGTATGTGTGTATTGGTGAATAAATGAATGTGTAAAGTATGTATATATGTGTGTGTATATTATGTGTGTGTGTGTATATCTATCATCATAATCATGAAGCAGGTCTTTTGCAGAACGTTGCTCTCATCACAGTTTGCCTGAAAAAAAACTCTCTTTCTCTCGTCAGCTCTCCCGCTTCATGTACTTTCACACTCAAGGAGTCACTTATATCCTGTGCCCATCTTCGTGTTGGTCGGCCTCTGCCCCTAATTCCTGGTACCGTACCTTCTGCTATAATTTTTTCAAATCCGTTGTGGCGCTTGATATGACCAAAATATTTCAACTTCTGAGACAGGATGCTGTTTATTAGCCAATCTTCCTTAGTGTTCAGATCTTTCAAGATATCAGTTTTTCTCCTCTTCTTTGTCCAGAATATTCTGAGAATCTTTCTATAGCATTTCAGCTCAAAAGCCCCTATTCTCTTTCTTGAGGACTGGGAGATAGTTCACGATTCACATTCGTATATTGCTACAGGAAAGATACATGCTCTCAAATTTCTTATTTTGATCTCCTTGTTGGTGCTAAACCTACGACTTTTAAGGCGGTTTAATCTGTGCATTGCTATGGCCATCTACCTTTTAATTGTCAAAAAATTCCCATTGCTATTTATTATAAAGCCTAGATATTAAGTTTGGGGCATTTTCAATTTCTTCATCATTTATTGTTATTTTTGGGTGGCAGCCAAAATCTGTAAACATTATTTTCGTTTTCTTAAAATAAAAAAATAAAATAACAGATTCTGATCTTCACTGTGCTTTTGGGCAGACAATATTAAATTTTTTATTCCCTTTAAGCTTATCGAAAGGAGGACTGTGTTATCTGCGTAGCGAAGTTCCGGAATAGGGTTGCCACCAATTTTAAGCGGATCAAAACTGTCACAAGTCTGGTCATTTGTAACATTTCGTATTATCTTTTCTGCGTGTATATTATCCTATATCCTTTTCATGTCGCTGTTGACACATAAGGCATTTACAAGTGATCTCCATTGCTGCCGGTCTGCTGCTTTTCTGCCCATGGTGTTCCATGTCAGTTTACATTCCTTCAGTCTCCATTCTATTGTACTTCTCCAGGTTTCCTTAGGTCGTCCACGTCTCCTTTTCCCATGTGCTGTCCGCCGGAGACCTGTTTTTGCCAGTGTGTCACAAAGCATTCTGCAAATATGTCCAAGCCATCTCTATCATCTTACTTTGATAACATTTGTCAATAATGCACAATATGTTTTCCTCCTCACTTCTTCATTTGTGATCGTGTTTGACCAAAATATTCGTAGAATTCTCCTCAAACATTTTTTTTTTGAAAAGTCTCAAGTTGATGTGTAATTCCGGCTGTCATTTTCCAACATTCACTGCTGTGTAATAGTATTCCTAAAATGTTTCTCTTAGTTATTCTGAGTTTAGTCTTCAAACTAAATCCCTTTGACTTCTATATATTGTTAAGCATGCCATTGCTTGATTTGCTTTGTTTATTCTTGATGTTACGTACTTTTCAGAATCTCCATCTAGAGTAACTTTAATTGTGAGGTATATAAATTCCTTAACTTTCTCTGTTGCTTCATCATTTAAGAAAACTGGATTTTCTGTTCTGAAATTATTTCTCCTTACTTTAGTTTTACTGGTATTTATTTTGATTCCTATCTTAAGGGCTGTTGTTGAAATTCTTTCAATCTTTTCCTGAGTGTCCACATGACGGTTTTGATATCAGGCTGATGTCATATGCATAGCCCAAATCCGGCCGCGTTAGCGCAGTCGATAAGAGACTCGCTTTCAAATCCAGCTGCGACTAACTGCAGCCTACGGTCGGTGTTCGAAACCGGGCGTCTCCCGGGGTTCACCCAGCTTCTAGGAAAAGGGTACCGGAATTGACACTCTGGGGTAAATTGAGGAACGTCGCTGTAGCTACAGAGTTACGTGCGAAATTTACTATTTTCTGTGGTACACCATAGTGAGGCAAAATCTTCCTTAGTGATTCCTTATGCAAGCTATCAAAGGCTTTGTCTAAATCCACAAAGGTCATATAAACTGTACTATATTCCATTCGTTACTTTGTTCAATTATTTGACGCAGCGTGAAGATGTGATCAGTACATGATTTCCCCTTTCTGAATCCTGCTTGCTCTTGCTTTATCTTACTATAAAGTGCTTGAGTCATTCTTTTAAGAATTATCCGGATAAAGATTTTACTAGATATTGATAGTAATGTGTTACCTCTCCAGTTGTTACAGTTTCCTAAATCTCCTTTCTTTGGAAATTTAATAATAGTACCCTTTTTCCAATCCTGTGGGATTTCTTCTTTATTCCAGATTTCTTGAAAAATCCTTATAATTTTTGGTGTTTCGATTTCCTTCACTTTCAGCACTTCTGGGCAGATTCCATCACACCTAGGTGCTCTGTTAATCTGTTGAGCTTTAATCGCCTTCCTAACCTCTGCCTCTAAAAAAAGGCTCTAGGCTTATCTGTGGGTCTTCCTGTGCCTCAGGCATATCAGCAAGTACAGGTGGGTCTGGACAGTTTAGTAATTCATGGAAGTGTTCTTTCCACCTTTCTAATTTATCTTTCTAGGCTGTTATAATTTTCCCACTCTTTGATTTTAAATAAAAATTTTGGTGCGATACCATATTTCCTTTCAGTTTCTTAGTTATGTTGTACAATGTTTTGATGTCCTGCTTATTTGCAGCTTTCTCTGCCGTTGTTACTAGTTTTTTCAATTCGCAAAAGTTTATCTGCTTTTGCCCCTGCTTTAACCCCATTGTTCTTTAGTGCATATTCTTTAGAAAGTTTTTCTTTTCAATCTGGCTGACTGTGCATCTAACGTTTGTTTTTTGAATATTTTTCCGTTGTGCTATTTTCTCCCACGTCGATAGGGAAATCCACTCCTCTTTCTTTGACCGCCGGAATTCTAATATTTTCTCCCCTGCTAATTTGACTGCTTCATTAAATTTGTCAGTTACCATTTCTGTTTCTTCTTGTGAAATGCTAAATCTATTTTTGAGTTCTATTTTGAATTGCTGTTTGATATGTGTGTCCTGCAATTGTCCTACATTATATCGCTGCGTTTTTTGTTCTCCTATTTTAGCTTTCATTATTTTTCCAATAAGTAATTTCTGGTCACTTCCTATATCCTCTGATCAACATACTCTTGCAGGAAATGCCTCTATTTTCCATTTATAAGAATATTATCAATTTGGTTTTCAGTGTGTCCACCTGGAGATCTCTATGTGACCTTATAAACTGTTTTATGAGGAAAGAGTGTTCCTCCAATTAATAAATTAGCTGAAGTCACACAATTTCTCTACTTTGTTGGTCCTTTTCCCTGTTCCATGTTTTCCCAATTTTCTCTTCCTCTCTGCGTTGTCCTTTCTTACCTGAGCATTAAAGTCTCCCAGAATTAATAATACATCATGCTTTGGCATGTCTTTCTAATACTGTTTGCAGACTGCCTTAAAAGCTGTCTTTTGTCTCCTCTTCTGCATCCTCTGTCGATGCGTAACAGACCAAGACAGATCATTTGGCAGATATAGAATTAAACCTGGCATACAAAAGTCGTTTACGTACAGGCTTCCATTCTATCAGAATGGTGTTGAGCTCCTTTTTAATTATTAATGAACCCTTTGGTCTGTTGTTCATCAGCTCTACCTGACCAGATTATATTGTTCATCAGCTCTACCTGACCAGATTATGTTGTTCATCAGCTCTACCTGACCAGATTATGTTGTTCATCAGCTCTACCTGACCAGATTATGTTGTTCATCAGCTCTACCTGACCAGATTATGTTGTTCATCAACTCTACCTGACCAGATTATGTTGTTCATCAGCTCTACCTGACCAGATTATGTTGTTCATCAACTCTACCTGACCAGATTATGTTGTTCATCAGCTCTACCTGACCAGATTATGTTGTTCATCAACTCTACCTGACCAGATTATGTTGTTTATCAGCTCTACCTGACCAGATTATGTTGTTCATCAGCTCTACCTGACCAGATTATGTTGTTCATCAACTCTACCTGACCAGATTATGTTGTTCATCAACTCTACCAGACCAGATTATGTTGTTCATCAGCTCTACCTGACCAGATTATGTTGTTCATCAGCTCTACCTGACCAGATTATGTTGTTCATCAGCTCTACCTGACCAGATTATGTTGTTCATCAACTCTACCTGACCAGATTATGTTGTTCATCAACTCTACCTGACCAGATTATGTTGTTCAACAGCTCTACCTGACCAGATTATGTTGTTCATCAGCTCTACCTGACCAGATTATGTTGTTCATCAGCTCTACCTGACCAGATTATGTTGTTCATCAGCTCTACCTGACCAGATTATGTTGTTCATCAGCTCTACCTGACCAGATTATGTTGTTCATCAGCTCTACCTGACCAGATTATGTTGTTCATCAACTCTACCTGACCAGATTATGTTGTTCATCAACTCTACCTGACCAGATTATGTTGTTCATCAACTCTACCTGACCAGATTATGTTGTTCATCAACTCTACCTGACCAGATTATGATGTTCATCAACTCTACCTGACCAGATTATGTTGTTCATCAACTCTACCTGACCAGATTATGTTGTTCATCAACTCTACCTGACCAGATTATGTTGTTCATCAACTCTACCTGACCAGATTATGTTGTTCATCAACTCTACCTGACCAGATTATGTTGTTCTCACTCTACCTGACCAGATTATGTTGTTCATCAACTCTACCTGACCAGATTATGTTGTTCATCAACTCTACCTGACCAGATTATGTTGTTCATCAGCTCTACCTGACCAGATTATGTTGTTCATCAACTCTACCTGACCAGATTATGTTGTTCATCAACTCTACCTGACCAGATTATGTTGTTCATCAGCTCTACCTGACCAGATTATGTTGTTCATCAGCTCTACCTGACCAGATTATGTTGTTCATCAGCTCTACGTGACCAGATTATGTTGTTCATCAGCTCTACCTGATCAGATTATGTTGTTCATCAACTCTACCTGACCAGATTATGTTGTTCATCAGTTCTACCTGATCAGATCATGTTGTTCATCAGCTCTACCTGACCAGATTATGTTGTTCATCAACTCTACCTGACCAGATTATGTTGTTCATCAACTCTACCTGACCAGATTATGTTGTTCATCAGCTCTACCTGACCAGATTATGTTGTTCATCAGCTCTACCTGACCAGATTATGTTGTTCATCAGCTCTACCTGACCAGATTATGTTGTTCATCAGCTCTACCTGACCAGATTATGTTGTTCATCAGCTCTACCTGACCAGATTATGTTGTTCATCAGCTCTACCTGACCAGATTATGTTGTTCATCAGCTCTACCTGACCAGATTATGTTGTCGTCTGTATTTAGGTTTCTTTCTCCTGTGCCTGTCCAAGGTGCTTCTGTAATTCCTAAAATATGTACATTATGTAGGTGCATCTCATGAAAAACTTGTTCCACTTTTCCAGTTTGATACAATGTTTTCACATTCCAACACCCAACACTTAGGATGTTTTGGGGAGAAAAAAGATTCACTGTTGACTTCCTTTCGGCTTTGATCCCCAGCCGTCATTTCACCAAATATTTGGCAAGTTTCACTTCTTTCCACTGGTTAATTGATTTCACTTGTTCCTGTTTCCATAACAAAGTATTTTTTTTTTTTCGGTAATGGGTTGTCAACCCTTTGCCCAACTCCCAACCTGGAGGACCAGGGTGCTAGTTTGGTCTGACTCTTCTTTTCAAGATCTGTTCGGCATGGTTAAAGCTGATAGGGAAACAAGTCCCCTGCCGACATAGCTCTGAGAGTCATTAGGGTACTCAAGCCATCCAGCCACGACAAGACACCAGCACCATGGATATAATATAGTATATATAATATATATATATATATCATATATAATATATATAATATATATTATATATAATATATATATATATATATATATATATATATATATACGGATGGACTGCACAAGATGGTAGTAGTATTACATCTACATAATGTACCTTTTAGGCGAGTGAGGACTTCGAGAAGCGTGAGAATTTTGTGGCGTTGGGAGGCGTCGCCTCCTACAAGGTCAAGGGTCAAATTGTAACTTGTTTTTTCCTTAAGATGGCGGCCTTTCAGCTTATATTTGTTTATCTTTATTGAATTAGATATATTACAAAGTTAAAATATTATTAATTCTCATTATGTGATATTAAAAAGTTTACAGCCAAAATCGCTTTTACTTCAGGGATCCCCTTTCTAGGTGCACCCCATGAGATGGTTGTAGTGTGTCAACAGAACCGCACATGGAGTGACTAACACCTAGTGACACAAGTCGGATGCGAATCACACAGGACAAGTTCCCGAAACTCCACTCAACACATTGGTTAGGTAGGGCCTCTGACAACAGCTGAAATGGGAGCTCACAGTAACGAAAACAAATTGTGTTCCATACGAATGTCCCACTCAGACAACTGGTATATAAAAAACAATCCGAGTAACAAAATGGGAACAGCTGTTGTTTATGCGAGTCCTTAAATTAAACTAGGAGGGATATAAAATGCCAGCATGTGAATATGAACACCAAAAGAACACTGTTTAACACAATATTTTTACCAACGCTCTGCTATCAATGTCAAACATGGACACTGTCTTCAGAAGACAGAAGGAAAATATAAATAAAATATCATGCTAGGTGTAACGAGGAAAGATGGACGTAGGAACGATGATATCAGGGAAACAATTGGCTCAGAACCAATACTGAACTTTATAGGTAGACAACAAATCGAATGGTTTGGCCATGTAACAAAATTGGCAGCAGACAGTCACCATAGTGAGCAATGTTATACAGATACATTGGTAACAGACCTAGAGGTCGACCACGCAGAGAATAGACTGCAGATATATCAGAGAAAGAAGCGAACTGAAGGGCCTGGTCTAGAGATTACTTTTCCCCTGACACTGTGAGGCATTCAAGGAGTAGGGGAAAAAAAGAAGATTAAAAAAAGGAATAGACTATATGTCATAACATACACATAGACTATATCATAGGTACGTCACTTTATTCTTTATTATCAGACTGTGTTTTGTTGATTTTTTTCTTGTTCACTAAGTACCGTCATATTATTTATCCTTGAAAACATATAATTTATGTGTAGGTTACTACATATAGTCTACTCATTATTTTATATTCCTCCTAATTTAATTTAATGACTCGCAAAAACAACACCTATTCAAATTTTGTTACTCGGACTTTTTACACCAGATTTTTGAGTGTGGCATTCATATAGGACTAGTTCTATTATCCAGTTATCTCCTTTTGAGATGTGATTTTTCGTTATTTTAAAGCCCCACTCTGGCTCTTACCAGGGGCCGCTTGTATGAAGTCCTAGTGGGGTACAACAAGCAAGCAAGCATTTTTTGGGGGGAGGGGGGGGGTGTAAATAAATTCCCACTCCGGCTGTTGTTTGAGGTCCTACCCTACCCATGGGTTGAATGCTGTTTCTGGGACCTGTCCCGGATGATTCACTGCCTACTTGTGTCACTTATATATATATATATATATATATATATATATATATATATATATATATATGTGTGTGGTGTGTGTGTGTGGTGCATATGTATGCGATCGCGTGCTACTGGAGGTTATGAGTGTGAACGTCTATGAGCATAGAAATGTGTAGCGGAGAAACACGTTATTTGACACAGTCAGTCAGTAGCCTGTCCTTTGCAGAACCTTGCACTGTTAACAACCCTCAGGAAAACTTCTCGATCACAAGCAAGATGTCCTGCTTCTGATACACCCATCTGGAGATCATCCGCCAATTCCTGCACCCATCTTCTTTTTGGCCTTCCTCTTCCCAGGCACATACCCCTCCATTATTGTTCTCTGCAAACTTTCGTCACGTTTTAGGTGACCAAAATATTTCAATTTTCTGTGTCAAATCGTCTTTAATAGCCAACCTTCTTCAATATTCAGTTCTTGAAGTATGGATGCATTTGTTCTTTTCTTTACCCATGATATTCTTAGAACCAGCCTATAACATTTGTATTCATATTCATGTATGCGCTGTTTAGCTGGTTTAACAAGTGTCCATATCTCCCAGGTGTATGTTGCAATGTGAAAGATGCATGCTCTTAGAAAATATAATTTGTGTAGTTCTGTCAGTCCCACTCCATAATTTTGTTTAGACACAAACCTTGCAAAAAGCAGCACCTAAACTCCAGGCTTGCAGCTCGAAGTACACGGTAAACGAGTCCACGGAGACGATGAAGCACAGATCCGCTACTGCTATATTGAGCACCTGGGACAATCAAAGACAGAACATTGCGATTATCGCAAGAATTATTCAATCCTCCATCCCCCGCCACTTTCCCTTCATCGTCTCCTTCTGTACATTATAACACTAAGGTCCAGTTGTCCAGTCTTTCCATAGATGCAAAAACAATAACAGCGGTCACATACACACTCACACGTACATACACACACACACATGCATACACACATCATAACTATACAATTATTTACACACTGACAGTTTAGGTGGGACTGGTTACTCTGTCCTAAAGAAAACCAATTGCAAAAATCCAATTAGGTTTTAAATAAGACTTTACCAAATTTAAGCATTAGGCCATTTGACATTTGCATATTTGGAAAGGTTGAACTAAATATTAAAAAAACCTTATAAAATAGTATATACCTTGAGAGTCAGATCAGTATTATTTCATGGATTAGGAACATTGTGAATACACAAAATAATTACAACTAATTTACTGACGTTAACTGGTCCACTAACTATAGTGCACTAACTGTATATATTTATATATTATATAAATACGCACTTAAACTAGACATATGCAGTTGAGCCCCTAGAAAATTCATTAGGAACCTGACCCCACCCCCCCCCCCCCCCCCTTTTGTCCCCCTTTCCCACCTCTCAGTTTTCTTTTTGTCGGCAGCCAACTTTCTGGCGTACAGTGATGAGGGCGACGTTCTGCAAGGAATCTGCTATATAATAATGGAATGACAGATGTTATTGGATGCAGGTCAACAGTACCAACCTGAATATATAGATGCTGTACACGAAGACGTTTTGAGCTCACAAGGACTGTAAATAGTAGAAGATTGGCAAAAATCCCCATAGAACACAAGAAGATTCCCGCATTTGCGCTCGCATTAAACCCTCGCTCATAAGAACTGGGATCAAACAGCTGTGAGAGGTGGCTTTCCTTGTCTGAAGCATACGAGCTAGCTGGTGCAGTTCCACCTTCTGAAGTCGCAAAATTGTCAGCAAATGATGAGGACGTTGACGAAACTGTAGACAGTTCAGAGGTTTCAATGTTGTAACATTCTTCAAATCGACATTCTACAACTGAGAGTGTGTCGGCGTGATCTCTACCGTTTGTGCTCATGACACCAGGATCTGGGATGTTTAGGGACCGCAGACATGTTTCTGTTGTGTTGCCTTGAAGACTTGCAGGTATGTTAGCACCCGAAGAAACAGGATCGCAGTAGTTTAGAAAGTCAAAGATCCGGGGATTCTGATGACATTTTCTTCAACTCCCAGCACTTGAACAGATACCGATGCAGGTATAACCTAGTGGATAGTAATGACAATATGTACATTATTAGAACCATATTGATAAAAATGGATAACTTTCCGTCTGATTGTTTCTTTGTGACTCTGCTGCCGCCTTCCCAAATTTACCTGTCATATGTTCATCCTACTGTTCTTGCATCTATCCTTTTGTTACACCGTAATCTTACAACCGTCTATGTGACTGTCCACCCTACCGTTTGTGTGACTGTCCACCCTTCTGTCTGTGTGACTGTCCACCCTTCCGTCTTTGTGACTGTCCACCATTCCGTTTGTGTGACTGTCCAACCTACCGTCTGTGTGACTGTCCACACTTTTCTGTCTGTGTGACTGTCCACCCTTCCGTCTGTGTGACTGTCCACCATTCCGTTTGTCTGACTGTCCACCCTTCTGTCTGTGTGACTTTCCACCCTTCCGTCTTTGTGACTGTCCACCCTTCTGTCTGTGTGACTGTCCACCCTTCTGTCTGTGTGACTGTCCACCCTTCTGTCTGTGTGACTGTCCACCCTTCTGTCTGTGTGACTGTCCACCCTTCAGTCTGTGTGACTGTCCACCCTTCTGTCTGTGTGACTGTCCACCCTTCCGTCTGTGTGACTGTCCACCCTTCTGTCTGTGTGACTGTCCACCCTTCCGTCTGTGTGACTGTCCACCATTCCGTTTGTATGACTGTCCACCCTTCTGTCTGTGTGACTGTCCACCCTTCCGTCTGAGTGACTGTCCACCATTCCGTATGTGTGACTGTCCACCCTTCTGTCTGTGTGACTGTCCACCCTTCCGTCTGTGTGACTGTCCACCATTCCGTTTGTGTGACTGTCCACCCTACCGTCTGTGTGACTGTCCACCCTTCTGTCTGTGTGACTGTCCACCCTACCGTCTGTGTGACTGTCCAACCTACTGTTTTTGTGACTTTCCACCCTTCCGTCTGTGTGACTGTCCACCTTACCATCCGTGTGACTGTCCAACCTACCGTCTGTGTGACTGTCCACCTTACCGTCTGTGTGACTGTCCAACCTACCGTCTGTGTGACTGTCCAACCTACTGTTTGTGTGACTTTCCACCTATCCGTCTGTGTGACTGTCCACCTTACCATCCGTGTGACTGTCCAACCTACCGTCTGTTTGACTGTCTACCTTACCGTCTGTGTGACTGTCCAACCTACCGTCTGTGTGGCTGTCCAACCTACCATCTGTGCCACTTTCAACACTACCGCCTGTGTGACTGTCTATCCTACCATCCTGCTGTCTCACTGTCCACCCAACTATCCAGCTGTGTGACTGTCCATTCTACCCCCCCCCCACCTCCCCCAGTGTCCACCTTACCATATGTGTGACTGTCCACGCTACAATCCCGCTGTCTGATTGTACACCCAACCATCCCGCTGTCTGACTGTCCACGCTAACATCTGTGTGACTGTCTACTTCACCGCCTGTGTGACTGTCCACCATTCCGACTCTCTGACAGTCCATTCTACCACCTATCTGTCTGTCCGCCCTACCGCATATCAGAGTGTCTACATACCGCCTCTATAACTCTCCTCTCTACCGCCTTTCTGACTGCCTACCCTACCGCCTCTCTGTCTGTCCACCCTACCGCCTCTCTGTCTGTCCACCCTACCGCCTCTGTCCACCCTACCGCCTCTCTGTCTGTCCACCCTACCGCCTCTCTGTCTGTCTACCCTACCGCCTCTCTGTCTGTCTACTCTACCGCCTCTCTGACTGTCCACCCTAAAGCCTCTCTGTCTGTCCACCCTACCGCCTCTCTGACTGTCCACCCTACCGCATATCTGACCGTCCACTCTACCGCCTACCTGACCGTCCACTCTACCGCCTATCTGACCGTCCAACCTACCGCCTACCTGACCGTCCACCCTACTGCCTATCTGACCGTCCACCCTACAGAGCATCTGAATGTCCACCCTACCGCTTATCTGACTGTCCACCCTACCGCCTCTCTGACTGTCCACCTTACCGCCTCTCTGACCGTCCACTCTACCGCCTATCTGACTGTCCACCCTACCGCCTCTCTGAGTGTCTACCCACCGCCTCTATAACTCTCCTCTCTACCGCCTCTCTGACTGTCTACCCTACCGCCTCTCTGTCTGTCTACCCTACCGCCTCTCTGTCTGTCCACCCTACAGCCTCTCTGTCTGTCCACCCTACCGCCTCTCTGACTGTCCACCCTACCGCCTCTCTGACTGTCCACCCTACAGCCTCTCTGTCTGTCCACCCTACCACCTCTCTGACTGTCCACCCTACAGCCTCTCTGACTGTCCACCCACCACCTACTCTGTCTGTCAACCCTACCACTCTCTGACTGTCCCCCTACTCAGCCTCTCTGACTGTCCACCCTACAGCCTCTCTGGGACTGTCCACCCTGCCCTCTCTACCGTCTGTCCACCCTACCACCTCTCTGATTGTCCACCCTACCGCCTCTCTGACTGTCCACCCTACAGCCTCTCTGTCTGTCCACCCTACCACCTCTCTGACTGTCCACCCTACCGCCTCTCTGACTGTCCACCCTACCGCCTCTCTGTCTGTCCACCCTAACACCTCTCTGACTGTCCACCCTACAGCCTCTCTGTCTGTCCACCCTACCGCCTCTCTGACTGTCCACCCTACAGCCTCTCTGTCTGTCCACCCTACAGCCTCTCTGTCTGTCCACCCTACAGCCTCTCTGTCTGTCCACCCTACCGCCTCTCTGTCTGTCCACCCTACCGCCTCTCTGTCTGTCCACCCTACAGCCTCTCTGTCTGTCCACCCTACCACCTCTCTGACTGTCCACCCTACAGCCTCTCTGTCTGTCCACCCTACCGCCTCTCTGTCTGTCCACCCTACAGCCTCTCTGTCTGTCCACCCTACAGCCTCTCTGTCTGTCCACCCTACAGCCTCTCTGTCTGTCCACCCTACCGCCTCTCTGTCTGTCCACCCTACCGCCTCTCTGACTGTCCACCCTACAGCCTCTCTGTCTGTCCACCCTACCGCCTCTCTGACTGTCCACCCTACAGCCTCTCTGTCTGTCCACCCTACCGCCTCTCTGACTGTCCACCCTACAGCCTCTCTGTCTGTCCACCCTACAGCCTCTCTGTCCACCCTACTGCCTATCTGACCGTCCACCCTACAGAGCATCTGATTGTCCACCCTACCGCCTATCTGACTGTCCACCCTACCGCCTCTCTGACTGTCCACCCTACCGCCTCTCTGACTGTCTACCCTACCGCCTATCTGACCGTCCACTCTACCGCCTATCTGACCATCCACTCTACCGCCTACCTGACCGTCCACTCTACCGCCTATCTGACCGTCCACCCTACCGCCTATCTGACTGTCAAGCCTACTATCTGTGTGACTATCCACCCTACCGCCTATCTGACTGTCAAACCTACCATCTGTGTGACCGTCTACCATACCGTCTTTGTGATTGCTGTCAAACCTACCATCTGTATTACTGTCCACTCTACCGCCTCTCTGACTGTCCATCCTACCGTCCGTCTGTCTATCACCACAAATACATTCCTCAGTTATTTGGTTGCGCCATCAACCACCTGTCAGATAGCTTGCCTGTCTATACAGTCATGGTTTAAAAAAAAAAAAAAAACAAGTTTTCAATATCATCAATATAAATAATCGTTACCAATTATTTGAACAAAATTATTGAAATTAAAAAAAAAAAAAAGGATTATAATAAAACTAACATTCTAAAACGAAAAGCAATAGAATTATAATAGAAATCTGAGAAAGTATTTTTCTCATTTTAATAAATTAATTACGTGATGCCTTTTAAATATAAGTATATATATATATATATAATATATATATATATATATATATATATATATATATATATATATATATATGTATGTGTGTGTGTGTGTGTGTGTGTAAAACGAGCTTTTCTGTTTTAACCACGACACGATTGTGAACGCAACAACAAGATGAAAAAGCGGCGATTTGACTAATCACAATCAGCCAATTTGTTAGCTAATTTCTTCCATGTCTGATAACTTGAGCGCCAATCGGAATTCACGAAAAAAAAAAAAAAATCCACTACAATATACTAGTATTCATTGCATTTTCATCCACAAAGATGGTGTCTGAACAATCTGAGTTCAATAAGTTACCACGAAAATAAAATCATGTCAAAGTTATGCCTACAGCAATTTGTGGCAAAATGCTATCCATTCGAACCTCACTGAAGATATAATGATATAATGGAATCTTCTCCTTAAAAATTAAATGTTATTACCATCTGCGTGGCCAAGGAGACAGACACCGGGGCGCCCCTCACATATTTTCTAAACAAAATTATTTTCTTAAATTAGGAAAACATAAATTGTGGGCGCTACAACTGCCTCCTCAATGCCTAAACACTCCCTTATCTGTACCTCAACTAAACACTCCCTTATCTGTACCTCAACTAAACACTCCCTTATCTGTACCTCAACTAAACACTCCCTTATCTGTACCTCAACTAAACACTCCCTTATCTGTACCTCAACTAAACACTCACTTATCTGTACCTCAACTAAACACTCCCTTATCTGTACCTCAACTAAACACTCCCTTATCTGTACCTCAACTAAACACTCCCTTATCTGTACCTCAACTAAACACTCCCTTATCTGTACCTTAACTAAACACTAACTTATCTGCACCTCAACTAAACACTCCCTTATCTATACCTCAACTAAACACTCCCTTATCTGTACCTCAACTAAACACTCCCTTATCTGTACCTCAACTAAACACTCCCTTATCTGTACATCAACTAAACACACACACACAAGGGGGAAGCAGGCTCATACCCCTTCAGCCTCCC